AGTCATCGCTGTCGGTCTGCCAGTCATTCCGGGAGCAGTTCACGTGAGGTGAACTCTCTTCTGGAGATCTTAGTCCGGCTAATCGGGGGATCAGGGGAAGAACTTTATTAGCTTATAGTGAGTTTCCAAAAGTAACAGAGATAACTAATATTGCTTTTCATGGGCAGGAGATAGCGTTTGAAGGCGGATTCTCTCTCGCTTTACTAAAGATCATTAACCCAGTTGTCGTTCCCGTAAAGGTTTTATAGATCTCAAGCTATTGTAATACTTAGAGTTTGTTTTCACTATTTTAATCATATGTAATCATATTAATACATAGTAATTTGAGAATTTAAATTTCATCATAGCAGGTAAATTCGAAAGTAGTAGTTTGCGTATAAACGGACAGACGGACAGACGGATTAACGGACATGGCTAGATCGACTTCTCTAGTGATGCTGATCATGAATATAAATACTTTATGGGTCGGAAACGTCTCCTTCACTGCGTTGCAAAAGTTCTAACTGAAATCATTATACCCTCTGCAAGGGTATAAAAATGTGTTTATGATTTTACATATATAATATATAAATTAGGTGACCATATCCAATAGTTGCCTTTGTGAAATTAATTAGATCCAATTAAGGTTCTGAATTTTATTTCGGCATAAAGTGAAAAGCGAAATATAAAAATTCATTTATTTTTCTCAAAAATACCAGTCATTTCAGATAGCTGACCAATGAATATAGAGTGACTATAAATTTGAACAACACACTTTGTCTTGTTTGGACTTGATACTGGATATCCATTAACTTCATGTCCAGTAGTTGCACTTTTCGTCCTTGACTATCCATTTTTTGCATTACTTTTTTGGATGGTTTTACGATTCTTTACATAATATGATTTAGTTTGAAATAATATTGTAATATTGTCTCCCGATTTCGACGCATTGCAATCTTAAGTTCACTTTCTATCTATTGTATAGATAGTGTGCTTTTTAGTTTATATACAAACACAGGTACACTATGCATGTAAGTATAATATTATAACTCAGTTTGTTTAGTTTCAGATTAGTCTAGAATTTTCGCTGCTCTTGTTCGCAATGAAATCTGAGTGTTTAGTGATTTTTCTGTTGCTTTTGTGTCTGAACTCAAACCCTCCAGACCCTTAAGAATTATGAATATTATTTATTTTTTTCACTTTACTATTAAAATATTTATTTTTATACCCATTACTCGTAAAATTAAAGGGGATTATACTAGATTCGTCGGAAAGTATGTAACAGATAGAAGGAAGGGCTTCCGACCCCATTAAGTATACATCATCACTAGTCTAGTCGATCAATCCATGTCCGTTCATACATATGTACACAAATATATTTACGTTCACAGAGTTTCTTACGAGTTCCTGAGATACATAAAGGATGACGAAATAAAAGAGTCTATTCCACCAAATGGGATTTATAAAGGATCTAAAGAACATTTATGTTATCCAAATTTGTAGCACCACCCTACATAATAATGAAATAAAAGCCGTAAGGCTAAAATATATATAATTTTTTAAAATGTTATCATTTTTATTTGAGAATGGATTCTGGGAGGGAGAACGATTCGATTTTGAAACCGAGAACGATTCATCTCGAAGTCGAGATCAAACATTTTCAAAAGCCCGTTCGCAAACCGAAAAGACTTCGATCTCAGTTTTCAGAATTTGAGTTTTAATCGATCTTGGCTCACTTTTGAGATCGAAAATTCTGAAATCAAGAACGCTAAAAAGGATTTTTTCTCTGAGTTGAAAACTTATTCCTGTAATTCGGTATAATCCTCACAGCAACTTTATCTTTCTAATCATCTTCTCAATAATCTTTATTTAATCTAGTGATAAATGTCCCTTATAAATAAACTTAAATGAAGTTAACATTAACGGAACATTTAAAAACGACAATACAGTAAATATTTAATAAAACATAAAAAAAAAGTGTACAGCTTTATAATCTAACATGAGATTGTTAAAAGATAGAGAGGTTATACTGCCTCTTCTTAACAATGAGATATGCTTCATGAGCGTAGAGATATTATAGAATATGATAATAATATCTCTTTGCCTATGAACCACATCTTATTTTTAAGAGGTACTCCAGATATCCTTAGACCTTTTCGGGCTTCTCCAACTTCAACTGGAGGGGTTCCTCCGTGGGAGTAGCTTTGTAGTGGACGAAGGGCTGCACCACCGGCGACAGAAGATTGGGATCCAGCTTGTAGCCGGATCTGGGCTTCAGGATGTAGCTCAGGGGAATGGCCACCAGCCAGGTGATGGCGAAGCCCACCACTGTGTATAGATTGAAAGAGAGGTCCAGGATGCTAAATCCCTCATCTTTCGCAGGGGCTTCAGTTGTGGAACTCAGATGCAGGGCGGACTCGGTGCTGGAAATCGTTCCATTCAGAGTTGCAGCTGGACAGGATGCAGTACTGGTGGGCAGGGGATCATAGTGGTTGCGACCCCAGCTCAGGATCACAATGGTGGCCATGCAGACGATGCTGACCAAGACTCCGGTCATGGCGGACCTGCCATGGGCTTTGGGTACCAGCATGCCCAGCATGAAAACCCCACAGGTGGATCCAAAGCTGACGCCTCCAATCGAATAGATCACCTGCAGAATTGAGTTGAAGTTCTCCACCACCATGCCGCCGAAGATGCAGTAGATTCCGGCGAAGAGGACGAACAACTTCATGATCACATTGGCCCGGTGCTCCGTGTGTCGAATATATGGCTTTATATAGTCGAAGTAAACCACTCCTCCCAGGGAATTAATGCTGGCGGAGAGAGTACTTAGGGCAGCACTGAAGACGCAGGAGATAAAAACACCAGGCATGCCCCACAAATGGCCCACGGTATCCTGGACGAAGTAGGGAACCATCTTGTCCACCTTGGAGACATGACCCGATCCGATTGGATCGCAGTCGTGGAACCGCGAGTAGATCACAATGCCCGTAAAGCAGTTGAAGAACATGATGAGGATGAAGCCGAAGCCGAAGAGCACCAGGGATCTCCTGGCATGACCCAGAGATGGCAGTGATACAATTCTCTGGACGCAGCTCTGGTTAAGACCCACATAACCCGACCACATGATAGTAGCCGATGTGAAAACGTTCCAGATAGTGGACCTAGTGGTCAGATCAAAGTTGTAGTTGATGTCCAGTCGTCCTCCCTCGCCGGCAATGCGAAGGACCTCGGAGAGGCCGCCCACTCGATTGGCGCCCATCACGCCAACCAGGACCACTGAGACCACCATAATGGCCGCCTGGATGACGTCCGTCCACACGACCGCCTTGATGCCTCCGAACATGGTGTAGAAAATGCAGATGCTACAGACCACCGTGTTTATGACGTGCACATTGAATCCCGTCACTTGGGCAAAGGCCAGCGAAGGCAGGAATATGAAGATGGGCAGCATGAAGAACATGGTCATTATAAAGATGAAGGTCTGCAACACTCGCACCTCGCGGCAGAAACGGATCTCCAGGTACTCGTAGCAGTTCGTAATATTGTTGTTGTAGAAAACTGGAATCACCACATAGTTGAGAAGTGGCACCACAACCAGCATGCAAACCACATTGAAGAACCAGTTGATTCCGTAGGCGTACATCTCCGCCGGAATGGTCATGATGGAGATCGCGGACAGCTGACTGGCCACCAGGGAGATGGCAATGGGTATCGTCTTCATCCGCTTGCCGCCCATCAGGTACTCCTCCGTGGTGTCCGCACCCTTGGCGAAGAATCCGAAGTAAACTCCAATGGCCGCGGAGATGCCCAGCATCAAGGCGAATACGACGTAATCCGTGGTGTTGAAGATGAACTGGGAGTCGGGAACCACGGTGGCAGCGGTTGCCAATACGGTGGCGTTCAAGAGGGACGACATTTCGGTACGATCCCGATCACTGGGGCACCAAAATAATATTCACTTTCCGGCTCCGTCAGCGGAGAATCACGATTAAGCGCATCACGGCGACCGCCTCGTCTTTATATCAGGTTCTGGGTGCAGCACCAAATTGCCTGCTCTAAATATTATCTATCGACGGCGCTCTCGGGTACGACCTTATCTAGATGATGGTATTATCTATTAGGATCTTAAGACCCCCTTGTCAATGCCCCACAGTGGGGCTCCGATAAGAGCTCCTGAGTTCTCCGAGCTTTCATAATCATCCGTTGTTTTCGCTGTCATCCAAGTATAGAATCTGTTTACACTGGTATCATTATATCATTACAATCCTGCTGAGAACCGCCAGTCATCTCGGGAGCAGTTCAAGTGAGGTGAACTCTCTTCTGGAGATCGTATACCGCAATTGGACCCAGACAAGGCCACGCCAATCGTTAAGGCTACTTGGGGGATTAGGCAAAGAATTTTATTGGCTTATAGTGAGTTTTAAAAAGTATGAAAGATAACTAATATTGCTTTTCATGGGCAGGAGATAGCGTTTGAAAGGGGATTCTTATCTTGTTTTACTAAATATCATTAACCCAGTTGTCATACCCGTTAAGGTTTAATAAATCTAAAGTTTGTATACTTTTTTCTTGATTTTAATCTTTCACTAATTTAAATTTCATCATAGCAGGTAATTTCGAAAGTAGTATTACAGATATAAGCACATCAATTTAGGCACCACACTTTGGATTTAAAATTTTAACATGTAATATAATAGATAAATAAATAACATTTAAATAATCATATAGTATTGGCATAGTAGTTAATATATCACAGACAATAAAAATTATTTTTATAAGCAATCCATTTTTAATACATTTGTATAACGATTTGCGTTTCTTTTCATTCATTTCTGAATCATTCCATTTGCAAGAACATATTGTATATTGTCGCCCGATTTCGATGCATTGCAATCTTGAGTGCACTATCTTGGCTTATATGTATATAGTTAGTTACTCATTGTATTGTATATATTGAAAGCATTTCAGCTTATTTGCAAACATAAGCATTATAAGTAACTTCCTTTCCACTCAGATTTGTTTAATTTCAGATTAGTCGAGAATTGACGCTGCTCTTGTTCGCAATGAAATCAGAGTGTTTTGTGATTCTCCTGTTGATTTTTCTTCTTGAAGAACATCATTTTGTCTGTGCAAACTCAATCAAAGATGCACCGCAAGAGCCAACCAATCAGAATGCTGAAATCGAGTGCATCAATTATTGTTTTTTAATTTTTAAGCCTGTTCTCGACAATTTCGTACATCTTAAAACTGCAGCCGATGCCAACAATGAAACGAGAGAGACTATAAAGGACTTGCAGAGTCAGTTAAAAAATAGAGAATCTGAAATCAAAATAAAAGAAGAGGCTATGAAAGTGAAAGATGAACAAATCGCGGACCTGCGGAATCACATTAAATCGCTTGAGACAACACTATCAGAAAGATCTAATCAGCTTTTGGAGTGCCGTGAAACTGAGGCCAATTTCCCCGACTCATGTCCCAGTGGCAGTCCCAATGGGATTTACCAAATCAAACCTCGGGGAATGGAGCCATTTAAAGTGCCATGTGTGTCCTCTCCATCTGGTTGGTCGGTAATCCTGAGACGTTTCGACGGATCCGAGAACTTCGTTAGAAACTGGACTGATTATAAAAATGGATTTGGAAATGTTCGGGGAGAATTTTTCATAGGGCTGGAGAAATTACATCGGATGACAAACGAACGACCCCACGAGCTCTACATAAAGCTTGGCAAGGTTGATGGATCCAAGAGCTACGCTCAATATGATGATTTTCGAATTGGCAACGAAGAGGAATCGTATGAGCTGAAGAGTGTGGGAAAATACTCTGGTGAAGCCGGAGACTCTTTGGAAGGTCACGTTAACAAAAAGTTTTCCACATTTGATCGGGATAATGACTTGTCTACTGAAAATTGCGCCTTGAACCGTGGTGGTTGGTGGTACCTAAGTTGTTATTTCAGGTATACAGCTCTAATAAAATAGAGTAAGCCCAAATGTTTTAACATTTTTAAATTACAGTAAACTCACTGGAAAGTACTATGACAGTGGTCATAATAGCTCGAGACATGGAATTAGTTGGGGTTCTTGGCATGACTCCAACTATACGATCTCGCTTACCTTCGCTGAAATGATGATTAGGCCTAAATCCTTATGAACAGCATAAACATAGAATAAAGAACAAAATAATCGAAGAAATAATTATTTTATCATAAATTTAGCTTATATTCGTCTTCATAACCTTCATCACTAGATCAACTTTATTTTAACACTTTTATTGTTTACAGCATTTAAATTGCAATTTGCATTTCTCGAAAAATGTTTTGTACCAACTTGGTCCTGTCCAGGATATTTCAAGTCGTCCGTCTAGTTTGTGGTACATTTTCAATTTTTTTCCAAACGTTTAGGCAATAGTCACTGGGAAATCTATTCCAACATTATTTTGGAATCCTTATGCAAAGTGTACGTAAAAATATGTTAATATAAAAGCTCTATTCAAACGATTTCTTTGCAAAAGCCAATTAAATGTATATGTATTGTTGTCAAAATATGTTTTTAAATTTTTTATGTACTCTAAGTAAATAAATGGTATATCATTCTTGAGGTGAATTTATTTTGTATCCAAAATACGCTGACACTTGGTTGGCATAAGTATTTAAAGACAATTTACAGATATAATAATTAAATTAGTTTGATTAAGTTTATTTAATATGCATAGCTTTAATATTATTCCTTTTTCAGTGTAAAGAAACGCTGAAAGCTCAAAGCTCGTGAAAACAATCGATGACCATAGTGTCGATTAATCGATTGCGAAATCGATCTGCACATCCCATCTCTATTAGCCGCTTTAGCTTTAGAATTAAATGTGCTAAGAAATTGAATTAAAATTCAATGGCTGGTCGCATGAAGAAGCTCGTGCCCACCGATGGCAATTGGATCCCGGAGTCGCGCCGCTTCCCCCTGGATTTGATCGCCAGCGTGATGAGTGGCCTGCGCGGCGACGTGGAGGGAGTGACCCCCGAGGAGCGCCAGTCCCTGAAGGAGTTGCAGAAGACATGGCTTAAGAAGCTGGCCAACCGCCTGCCGGATTCAAATCCCCGTCCGCCCTCGCCCAAGAGGCCTCGCCTTCGGGCCAAGAAAAAGGCCCCCCAGGTGGAGATCCCGCCGGCGGTGGAGGAGCGCGAGGAGTACAACGTCTACGAGGTGGAGGACAGCGAGGTGGTCAGGAACCGCATCTGCATACCCCGACTTCGATCCCATTGGAAGCTGCGCTACTTTGAGATCATGATGCCCGCCTTTGTCATCAAGCGCGGCCTATTGAATAAGCACTTCAACTGGGAGATCGTCGACAAGATCATGGGCGCCCCCGACGAAGAGGCCACCGCCTTTCTCCAGGAGTTCGTGGACGACGTGGTCAAGGACCTGACACCCTGAAGTATGACTTTGTTAAAGTAATGTTCACTACATCACCATTATGAGGGTTTCATTTACACTCACTGGTTTAGTACTTAAAATTAACTATCTTTCTAGGGATAGGGCTTACAGTTTAACTTAAAAAAAACCACTAGTTCAAAAATGTTTGCAACCTAAGTATATTACAGGTTGGTTTTGCAAATTGTTGAATATGTTTAGAGCAGCTTTTGAGTTTTCAACGGTCTTAAAATATTGTTTATTTAATAACTGATTACTATGAGAACATATGTTCGTCTATTTATTTTTCAAATTTTTTGATCAATTCTTATTGTTTTGAATTTGTGCGTTAGCTTAAAATTTATAAGCACAAGCAAAGTTGTTTTCGGTTGAAAAAAATGACTAGAAACATTAAAAAACTTGTACAGAGTACAAAATCCTTATTAACGAATAATTATGTAAATTTTTTGGGGTGATAGACACTTATTATACCCGTTACTCGTAGAGTAAAAGGGTATACTAGATTCGTCGGAAAGTATGTAACAGGCAGAAGGAAGCGTTTCCGACCCCACAAAGTATATATATTCTTGATCAGGATCACTAGCCGAGTCGATCTAGCCATGTCCGTCTGTCCGTCTGTCCGTCTGTCCGTCTGTCTGTCCGTCCGGATGAACGCTGAGATCTCGGAAACTATGGGAGCTAGGCTATTGAGATTTGGCGTGCAGATTCCTGAGCTTTTTACGCAGCGCAAGTTTGTTTCAGCAATGTGCCACGCCCACTCCAACGCCCACAAACCGCCCAAAACTGTGGCTCCTACAGTTTTGATGCTAGAATAAAAATTTTAACTGAAATGTATTGTTCTCATCAATACCTATCGATTGATTCAAAAAAAAGTTTGCCACGCCCACTTTAACGCCCACAAACCGCAAAAACCTGTGACGCCCACAATTTTTAAGCTAGATAAAAAATTTTAACTGAAATGTATTGGTCTCGTCGATACCTATCGATTGATCCAAAAAAAAATTTGCCACGCCCACTCTAACGCCCATAACGCTTAAATCTGTATACCGCCGGTAGGTGGCGCATTTTAATCTCGCTTTGCTGCTTGCATATCTCCATTTAGCTGAGTAACGGGTATCTGATAGTCGAGGTACTCGACTATAGCGTTCTTCCTTGTTTTTCTATGCTGACTAACAAGACTTATAGAAGTGGTCAAGAAAAGTTGATTAGAAACATTAAGAAACTTATACAGAGTACGGAATCCTTAATAATAAATATTATTGAACAATTTTTTTAAAATATAGACCTATTTTTCTAAACTAATCTACAAGACCGTTTACTGACTTATAGAAAATAAATATTGCTAAGATGTTGAATGCGATAGTTAATTGGTCAAGCTAAAATTTTGCAACTATTATAAGATATAATTTTGTTTTCAACAAGCCTATTTCGAGTTAAGAATTAGTACCATTCTGAAGCGAATACCTTGTCAATTAAAACCAAACATTTCAATATGTTTGTTACTAAAGCAAAGCTAATAAACTTTTGTGTGACAAAACAAAAGCTTTTTCGCCGATTTACCTATAAAAGATCTGTCCCACTCTAAAACATGGAGAAGTTAAAATGTAAATTCCACGCCCCATTGCCAAGTGGTGGTCCAAATTAACAGCTAATTACGTGCGAATGAGAACTACGGTGGGAATGGGGTGTACGGGATCCCCAGAAAATGGTAGAAAATGGAAAAGGGGCAGTACACACCAAACACGTACAGCAGCTAAATGGCGGGAGCGAGACAGATAAAGGGGGTCGGACAGCGAGCCAAACATCATTTGAATACAAAATTGCCCTTGAAAAGGGTTTGCCTGCCATATACAAAAGGCAAAAAAGTTCCAAAAATAGCAACTTAATACAAAAAACAAACAGAAAATCCAAAGTCCCGTCGAGGCGACAACAAAAGTGACAAATTAGTCAGGGGCGTCGACACCAAAAGCGTTACAATTGAGAAAGGGTGCCCCCAAAATGTCCCTTAAGCCCCCACAGTGTATCTTAAAACAGTTCAACTTCCAAAATCCAGCTGAAACATTTATAAACTTTCGACACTAAAGAGCATACAAAATTTTTGTCCAGTTTAAAGCATCGTTTATGGCCAACATTCTTTATAACGTTTTAGTAACTTAGTTTATACTGTTAAAGTAAAATTAAAAAAAACAGAAAACATAACATTTCGCAAGATTTAAACTTAGTTTCATATCTTAACTTGAATTTACAATTATTCATCCAGATGTACATATATGATTAAAAATATTATAGGCAAATAATAAAAGAGTACTATGTTGAAAAATCAATTAAAGCTGCAACTTGAAAAGAATTCGATGTTAAATTTAACTTCAAATTTGAGAAACGAGTACTAAGTACAATTTTGTGATCCATAACTCTTATTTGGAATATCTAACACTGATCGCCTGGCAAGAAGAAGCTTCTGCATAAATAATTGGCGGAATAATTGGCTTCGCTCAGGCGTAATTAGCCGGAATTCACGGAATCCCTTCACCATGATGACAACGCGGGCGAGGCCAAAAGTCAAATACCGGGACCAAATGCAGTGAGCCAAAAATAATGAACTCCAAATGAAGTAGAACAAAAAGAAAACACAGTGTTAATTATTCATATTTCATTAGTGAACAGCACAGAAACACAAACGCAGGTGAAGGCGATGCGATGCGATGGCAAAGGCAAAGGCGTGTGCCATCTAAAATTTATAAAAATCAAAGAAAGCACTGGGAGCTCAAGGAACCAAGTCCTTGGCGGTCGAAATCGGTATACCCTTTTATTGTTTTAATGGTAGCTAAGAAATTATAGGTTATATTATAACCTAAGAAATTATACACTCTTTAAATGTAATATCAATTAATTTTAGATGTACATAAATATTAAAAAGATAATTTTTTTAACCGAAGTCCATTCAGAACCGTCCTTTTTAACTATGTTTATTACTAACAGTTCTTTTAATTAAGTTATGACTATACTCAACATATTCTTCTTAAGTAATACTAACTTTCGTTAAACTAAGTAATATTTGTTATAAAATTAACATACGTTATGTGTGGTAAATACCTATGGAACATGTTGTATGATTATTCCTTGTAGCAGCTTTTGAACATATTATTTTGAATATATCATCTCAAATGTAATTTAATTTGACAATGTATCATATGATTAAAAAAAATTGAATATTGGTATAATACTCATATATATTTTAAACTTATTACCTAGAAAAAATAGAATACTTCCAAAATACAAATATGAAAAAGGACCGATATCATCACAAATATTAATTTAATTTGATCATACATCATAAACATTTTTATATCTAATATAGGTATAATATCTTTTTTAAACTTATTACCTAGAAAAACAGAATACAACTACCAGTAGTACACATTTTATTATAAAGAAATATAAATACTATATATCTACACTGAACTTTTTAAGAAAATATGTAGGCTTTAAATATTTTTACAAATACAATATATCTATACTTTTTATTTTTATAGGGCTGCCAAGGTATCCTCAACTGCGTGGCAAGCCTCTGCAGAAAAGTAAGTGAACCCTGGAGGAGTGCTAAAAGGGAGGACGAGGAGCAGGAGGTCAGCTTCGAGTGAAACAAAAGGGAAATGTCGAAAACGAATCTGGATACACATCATCATTTGTCTTGGCGGAAAGAAGGCGGTGGCGACGAAGGAGGCAGTGGCTCCATTTAGGCCAGGCACATTGATGAATGAAGTGCGTAGTGGCTGAAAGGCCAAAGGGCAGGCCGCATTAAAAATGCACACGCAATCAGAAAATTCTTTACGACGGTCTCATAAGCTGAGGACTCCGGGCACCAGGACTCCAGGACACGGTACTCCCGGATCCCGACTCCATGAGCAGCCAGGTGATGGATCAGCGGCCTCAGATAAGACAGGCGGAGAAGGAGCTGGAGCTGGAGCTGGAGCCGTGGTAATGAGTGAGCTGAATTGGGGCTGCTGCCGTCAAATGTTGTAAACCCTCTTTTGAGCCGGGCCTCTCGCCGTACCGTTGGTGGCAATTTATAATTTGTTTGAGGGCTTTCAGCGGCCTTTCAGGGCAATTACCCCGCACCTGGCTTTACCTTTGGCAGCAACACCTTCGCAGCATTTCGGCTTGACTGGCTGCGAACTTTGGCACCCCGGTTGGCCAGGACTCGGATTCGGATTCGGGTTCGCTTACTGGGTCAACGTGGTGGCCATCTTCCCCCCTGTTGTGTATAATGGAACTGCCGAGAATGTTTTCCTTCACGGAGCACGTTCATTCAGCCAGGATGCGTGTGTGCACTCGAAAAAAAGTTCAGTTTCCTCTACGTACTTGTTCTTTTATTTCAAATTATTTCCTGATTGTATAACCATAGGACAAGGTATATTATATACATAGAAGACCTCCTCAGTTCTGTTAACACTAATTAAATGTTGATTGTTGATTCATCAGTATATTAACTCAAATAAGTGAAAAGTCGCTGGAAGTTCATGTACAAACAGTTTACGTTTATCCCTTTCTGGTTGAGGCATAAATTAAATTAAATTCGTTCGTTATTACACTCAAAGAAGTATTCGCCTTGAATTCAATGGTGTCTATTTCTTTATATGTTAGAAAGCATTTCTTTTACTTAGTAATTTCACTTATATTGTAAAATATTATTAAATAAATCTAAATCATTTTTATAAATATTAGAAAAATTCGTAATAGACGCCAACTCTCCAAAATCCTGATGTTCTCGTAATTTAAAAAATAGATATTCCTTTTTGGGGTGTTTTTCTTTTGAAGATTGAGTTATTTTCTCATTGTGTAGCACGTCTGGTCAGCGAGTGCAAACGTGGATGCTGACCCGTAGGGATAAGCCGCAGAAATGCACAGATTTCCCATTGACAGGAAAAGCCTTTCGCTCCTTCTATAGACTCCTGAACTCGAAGGATTGGCGTAGGTTTTGCTGCCACTTACATACCAGCCATTCGTGGACCTGTATTAAAATTCAAGCTCTTTCATGCTATTAATATTCCATTGCGTATTCGCGCGAGAATATATTCCATTTTTAATAACACGAAACTTGATGAAAATTTTATAAATAAAAGGCAAGAGGGAGGGATAGGATATGCCAGGGGTGACTGTTGCCAGATTCCTTTAGCAGCTCCTCTGTTGTCGGCGACAGAAAAGAAAGAAAAGGGAAAGAAAAAGAAATGGAAAGCTCAGAAGTCAAAGCAAACAGGGGAAAACTCACTGGGGCCAAGGAGCCAAACCAAACCAAACCCAAACCCAACCGAACCGAACCCAACAGAACTGAACCTCGAGCATTGTAGGAATACAGGAGCTGGATAAATTGCGCAATGAACCCCGTTGTTGGGGGGAAAGTTGGGTGCTCCCAACCATCCACACACATTCCCACGAAAGAAAACAAAGAAAAAACAATTGAAATGTGAATATTAAATATACAAGTACAAGTTGCCCGTTAGTGAGCTCCGCCATTGTTTGTTGCAGCACCTTGCAGGCGGCACAGATCCACAAACACCCACTTGGATACCACACCCCCCCATACCATACCACCCAACCACCGAACCACCCACCGCTTGGCGGGAAACTCCCCGCGGCGTCATTGTGCTTCCTGGCAGGCGGCAGTGGAAAATGCCATTTGATGGCATTTAGATGGGATCGCTGATTGATGTTACTGGCTTCTCCTCGAATTCCCAAAGCCAGACCCGTGCTCTGGGCACTGGGGTGTGGGTCAGCCCGGTTCCCCTTGGAGGTTGAGGATGAGGATGAAGTTGGAGTTGAAGGGCTTCGCGGCGGTTTCGTGGGCGCCTAAGAAGTTTGCGAAAGGTGGCTCAACGGAAATCAACTGGGCGGAAAGATGCCTTGAGTTAGCATTAGTGATAAGGTTGCGTAGGATGAGCAGGAGCTGTAGATTCCTTCAGTAGTCCTTTGAGGTCGGAGTGCTATACAGGTAGTTTATGAGCACTTAAGAGGTACTCAAATAGTACTTCTCTTTCAAGTAATTCTTTGTTAGTGAAATTATTATTACTTCCAATATTAGCAATATAATTTCCTTAGGGCTAACACCCCTTATAATGTTACTAATTCTATAGGTAAAATAACTCCACTTGGTTTAAAAAACTTACTTAAAACTCTCTTAATCTGAAAAGTGACACAAGAATGATTCAATCCGAAATTCTTGAAACCAAGATTAAGTGTTCTCAACTAGACAGTCTACTTTCCCCCCAAACCACAAATTTGAGAACACTATCGTCTTGATTTCAAGAAACCTTCTTTAAAAAGTGAGGAGAAGTATTCCAAAATTGACATCATTTGATCTTGGCTTCTTGACGTTCTTAATTATTCAGGGTTTGTTTACTCAATGATGACTACTGTTATTAAACATATAAACTTAAGAACACTTCCGCCTTGATTTCAAGAACGCTTCTTCTTTAAAAAGTGAGGAGCAGATTTCCAAAATTGAGATCATTTGACCGTGGCTTCTTGGCGTTCTCAATTATTCAGGGTCTATTAACTCAATGATGATTATTAATATAAACTTAAATAATAATAATATTAATAATACGATCCCGTAGTGGGGACTTTAAAATTTGTTTGGTTCTATCAAAGAGAAGCTATTGTATCCCATTTTAATCAAGTAAAACCCAAAGAATGAACCGAAATCATTAAATCATCATGGACCCATAGAGCTAGGTCAGTGAGTGGAACCCTTTTTTTTAGCTCCGCAGCTTTGCATCGCCCGATAACTTAATCTAAGCCAAGTCCCATCTCCGGCTGTCAGCCTCGTTACTTTCACATGGTCATCAACCTATATACCCCCGGCTTTACATAGAACCCCGCACCATAGGACCGGCATATGTGTAATGCATGCAACGAGGCACATTAATTAAATAAAAATTGATTTTCCAAGCGCATGAAATGCAATCAACGGCCTGGCTTCAAGTGGGTCCATGTGGCCAGGATGCCGGCCTGGATTCCATACCGAACTGGGGGCCCCGGACTCGGAACTCTAGGACTGCGGGCCCTGGATTCCATGCTCCATCCATCCACTGCCGCCGTGTTGTCAAATGGAGTTAACAAAGTTTACGCTTTTTGCGCGCCGCTGTCTCATTCTGTTGTTGCTGGCACTGCTGGCTTTATTTTTTGTCCTGCTGCTGCTGTATACATATATATGTATATATATAAATATATATATAAATTTGTATTTTTTTTTGTGGCTCCTCCTCGTTGTTTTTTGTTGCATCGTATGCATAAGTATATAATGTGCAGCTGGCTGGACATGGGCGGGCGAGTCCTGGCCCTGTAGGTCCTGCAGGTCCTGTAGCCATGGTGCCCGTCGCCGGTCCGTTTCGCCTTTTATCCGTTTGGCCACAACGGCGGCAATGAGTTTAATGTGCGCTGTCGCTTTTTGGCCGTATTTAAACCACAGCAAGTCATCAGGCAAATTGAATTTTCAACGTATGGTCGCACATTGCGTTGCACCACTCCGTGTCACGATACCCCCCGCCTGCCCATCGCCCTGCTCCTGACCCTGGTTCGTCCAGTTCTTAACCCTCGTTTTCGTAGAGCTTCGTTTTGATCAGCACTTTTCCGATATCTCTGCATTTTTTATTAATCCATCCCGTTTGCTCAGCATCTTTGGAAGTTTTACTACCCTTTATTTTATTTTAACAGGTTATTAAAAAACCAAGAAAGTTAACCACTGTTATTAATGGAGAAAAGTATAGAATAATGTCCAGGATCATGATTAAAAAAAAAACCCTTTTGATAAAACTGATTTAGATAGCTGATTAATTTTAAAACGTTTATCACAAAAATAAGAAAGGTCAATACTGGAAGTGTACAGATTCTGAGCTTACTTAAGACAATTATCTTTTTCGTATTTTAAAGGATCTTAATGCCAAAATTCTCGAGCTTTATATAAATGATATATGTAGATAGTTAAGTCATTGAGAGTAGATTAGTCAACCGTGCTCAAGTATTCGATTTTTAGCGCAAGATGAATTTCAGGGATGGATAAAAATATGGTATACAAATATTGTAACGAACATGGTAGGTCCCATATCATCTTAAGTAGTCATTTCAGAAAAAACGTAAAACACGAACTAACTGAGAACCTCTTAGCTTGAAAAAGTGGTTACGTGAGTTCGTTACCAAACATTTCTAATGTAAAGTAATGATAGATAGTGACTCATCTTGAAATAATCCTGATCCATACTTAATGTCTTTCTTTGATTGTAGACTTCGTATATGGTTAGTGCAATAGCTGTGGTCATGGGTTTTAGAGGGTTAAGGCCTTGGCTTTCGACGTCAGACCGCAATTCTCGTGTCAGTGGCTGTATAACATTTCCATCTCGCTCTTATCAGCACGGTCAGCGACGGTCCTTTATACCATACACCCCGAACACCCCGAACACTCCGTACATACCCCCAAACCCAAACCCCAACCCAAACCCACTGCATTTGCTTGCTTCGTTTCTCGTTACAAAATTACCCACGATAAAAATTGAATTACTTCGTTGTCGTCGTCGCTGTCGAGGTCTCCCTGCCTTCACTCCCTGCAAAGTGTTGGGCTTGCTCTTGACGCGCCCATGTCCCCCGTCCTTGATCCTTCTCCGCCTCCAACTCCTGGTGCTCCTCTCGTCCTCGTCCTCGTCCTGTTTAGACGACACTGAAACTGTCGCCAGGCCTGGTCCTGTGTGACTCCGTCTAATGATAAATGAGCTGCAATGGATGACAGCGAATCAACTTAAGTGTATTGCTCTGCTTCACTCCCCCACTCTTTTTTTTCCCCTTGCCGGGCATATACCCAGCAGTTGGGGGACTGGGAATGGGACTCCGGTTCCGGATCTGGCCTTCTGGCCACCCGGAGCCAGCCAATGCACTTTCCCCTCAACGCTTTTTTCGCTCCTGTTTACGTTTCACTTCAAAATTCTATGCTACACTAAATATTTACATAGGAAAAAAACTTGGCAAGCGTAAGTGAGATGCTTTAAGGAAGCTCCGCAGCGGAACTTTGCCAAAGTTCCTTCACTCATTATGCGTCTTCGAGGGGGATTGGAAGGCATAATCAGCAAATTGGTAGGAACAAAAAGTGGTGCCCGGGCCAGACTCAAAACAGCTGTGCGGAGGACCCATTAAGATATAGTTCAAAGACAAAGAAATTAGAAGAAATCGAGTCTTTGCTGCTTTCGGAACTTTGATTTTTTTGATTAGGCTTTAAGAGGCTAATCTAATGGTTCACCATTGCTTTAAAAATCGTTGAAAGATTGTATGGTATTGCTTTACGCGATTAAAGATACCATATCTGATTAATGTTTTGTATAAATATGTATAATTTAAATTTAATAATTTTAATGCGTACAGAGTAACATTCAGTTACGAACATATTTTTTACCCTGAGAGAGATTCTTGATTTCATAAAGTTTAAGATTACAATATAGGGGTCTTAAAATAACCCATTTTACATTTTCTAGATTCGACTGCCACAACTTTAATTTGTCCTTTTCAGAACTTTAAAACAATATTTTCGGTAAATACCTATGTAAACATTATACAAATATCCATTCTAGACTAAATGCATCTTGTCTCTGACAGATTTTCACAAAGTCTAAGAATTAATATGAAAAAGATATAATTAGAGTTTTTATAAATAGTGTTAGATAATGTTTTGTTCGCTTAAAGTTAAGGCTAATAAATGTTATAATAATTTGGAAAGGTTCTTCGTTTACCTCAACTTTAAAGTTCATCCAAATCCGTTCAGAAATTTGTGACCACTATCAGTAATGAACATATTTTCCACCCAAAAAAACACATGATTTGCCAGATTTTCATAAAGTTTAAGATTTAATGCGGAAAACAAAAAAATAAAGGTTTTTAAAATAGTGCAATAAATTAGGTAAGACCAAGAGTTAGAGATAGAATATCATTGCCAATATAGAACAGAGCAGTTGGATGTGAGATTATCGTGTGGAAGCAGTGGATGTCCTATTTCTCCAGGCAGCGGGCCTCGTCCTTGGGCACACAGGACTGGGCTAGCCAGTCGAAGCGCTCCTTCTTGTCGCAGCGCAAATGGGCGAACTTGTGCTTGCCGGAGTTCTTCACCTCGCAGCGGTAGTACTTGCGGCAGTCCCGGACATCCGGATAGACGTCGTCCTCGTCGCACTCGTCGCCCTTCTTCAGCTTCTTGATCAGGTCCTTTACGTACTGCTTCTTCTCCTTGGAGCTCAGCTCGTCGTCGCCCTCGTTGTCCTTCTGAGACTCGTTGTCCTTCTCCTCCTTGGAGTCCTTGGACTTGTCCTTCTTATCCTGACTGTCCTTATCCTTCTTCTCTTGACTGTCCTTATCCTTCTTATCCTGACTGTCCTTATCCTTCTTATCCTTCTTATCCTCACTGTCCTTATCCTTCTTTTCCTGACTGTCCTTATCCTTCTTATCCTGACTGTCCTTATCCTTCTTATCCTGACTGTCCTTGTCCTTCTTCTCCTCAGAGCTGGGCTTCTTCTGCTCCTGCTCCTTGGACTGATCCTCGGCGGACTTGGGCTTGTCCTTGGACTTCTCGCTGGAGGCCTTGTTGCCCTCCTCAACGGAGGCATTCTCGTTGGACGCAGCTCCTCCGGCTGGTGGTACTGGGGCAGCCTGCTCTACGCTCTCGGCATTTTCGGGCTTGTTGTTGTCGGGCTGCTGGGGATCCTCCGGCTGGGCAGGAGCTTCTGTGCTGGTCACCGGTTTGGTTGGTCGCCAGCTGTTCACCCAGTTCTGCCAGTTGGGCCAGAAGGGATGGGGACGTTGGGGCGGGCTAACGCTGCCATTGATCAAGCCACTGCCAGGAGCAGCAGCTCCGGCACCCGAACCATCTTGTCCAGGAATATGGGGCCTCCAGATCGGCGGGAGGATAGGAATGCTTGGGCGGGGTTGCCAAGAGCCAGCTCCGCCAGGCAGTAAAGGAATCGATGGAATGACTGAGCCAGCGGGAGAGTTGGAACCAGCAGGAGCACCACCAGCAGGAACGTTGGAACCAGCAGGAGCACCACCAGCAGGAGCACCACCAGCAGGAACGTTGGAATCAGCCGGAGCACCACCAGCAGGAACGTTGGATCCAGCAGGAGCACCACCAGCAGGAACGTTAGAATCAGCAGGAGCACCACCAGCAGGAGCGTTGGAATCAGCAGGAGCACCACCAGCAGGAACGTTGGAATCAGCCGGAGCACCACCAGCAGGAACGTTGGAACCAGCAGGAGCACCACCAGCAGGAGCACCGCCAGCAGGAACGTTGGCACCAGCAGGAGCACCACCAGCAGGAATGTTGGAACCAGCAGGAGCACCGCCAGCAGAAACGTTGGAACCAGCAGGCGCACCACCAGCAGGAACGTTGGAATCAGCAGGAGCACCGCCAGCCGGAACGTTGGAACCAGCAGGAGCACCACCAGCAGGAACGTTGGAATCAGCCGGAGCACCACCAGCAGGAACGTTGGAACCAGCAGGAGCACCGCCAGCAGGAATGTTGGAACCAGCAGGAGCACCACCAGCTGGAGCGTTGGAACCAGCAGGAGCACCACCAGCAGGAGCACCGCCAGCAGGGACGTTGGAACCAGCAGGAGCACCACCAGCAGGAACGTTGGAACCAGCAGGAGCACCACCAGCAGGAACGTTGGAACCAGCAGGAGCACCGCCAGCAGGAACGTTGGAATCAGCAGGAGCACCGCCAGCCGGAACGTTGGAACCAGCAGGAGCACCACCAGCGGGAACATTGGAACCAGCAGGAGAACCGCCAGCAGGAGCACCACCAGCAGGAACGTTGGAATCAGCCGGAGCACCACCAGCAGGAACGTTGGATCCAGCAGGAGCACCACCAGCAGGAACGTTAGAATCAGCAGGAGCACCACCAGCAGGAGCGTTGGAATCAGCAGGAGCACCACCAGCGGGAACGTCGGGGACAGCAGGATTTCCAGGGGCGGCAGTAGTAACATCAACAGGAGAGCCAGAAGATGCTGGGGATCCTTCGGAGGGAACTCCAGGAGCAGCCGTGGTAACATCAGCGGGGGAACCAGGTCCAGCGGGGGATCCTTCAGCGGGAGAGCCAGGAGCAGCAGGGGATCCTTCGGCGGGAGAGCCAGGAGCAGCAGGGGATCCTTCGACGGGAGAGCCAGGGGCAGCAGGAGATCCTTCGGCGGGAGAACCAGGAGCAGCAGGGGATCCTTCGGCGGGAGAGCCAGGCGCAGCAGGGGATCCTTCGGCGGGAGAGCCAGGAGCAGCAGGGGATCCTTCGGCGGGAGAGCCGGGAGCAGCAGGGGATCCTTCGGCGGGAGAGCCAGGGGCAGCAGGGGATCCTTCGGCGGGAGAGCCGGGCGCAGCAGGGGATCCTTCAGCGGGAGAGCCAGGAGCAGCAGGGGATCCTGCGGCGGGAGAGCCAGGGGCAGCAGGAGATCCTTCGGCGGGAGAGCCAGGAGCAGCAGGGGATCCTTCGGCGGGAGAGCCAGGAGCGGCAGTGGTTACTTCAGCGGGAGAGCCAGGGGCAGCAGGGGATCCTTCGGCGGGAGAGCCAGGAGCAGCAGGGGATCCTTCGGCGGGAGAGCCAGGAGCAGCAGGGGATCCTTCGGCGGGAGAGCCAGGAGCAGCAGGGGATCCTTCGGCAGGAGAGCCAGGAGCAGCAGGGGATCCTTCGGCCGGAGAGCCAGGAGCAGCAGGGGATCCTTCGGCGGGAGAGCCAGGAGCAGCAGGGGATCCTTCAGCAGGAGAGCCAGGAGCAGCAGGGGATCCTTCGGCGGGAGAGCCAGGGGCAGCAGGAGATCCATCGGCGGGAGAGCCAGGAGCAGCGGGGGATCCTTCGGCGGGAGAGCTAGGAGCAGCAGGGGATCCTTCGGCGGGAGAGCCAGGAGCAGCAGGGGATCCTTCGGCGGGAGAGCCAGGAGCAGCAGGGGATCCTTCGGCGGGAGAACCAGGTGCGGCAGTGGTTACTTCAGCGGGGGAGCCAGGAGCAGCAGGGGAACCTTCGGCGGGAAAGCCAGGGGCAGCAGGAGATCCTTCGGCGGGAGAGCCAGGAGCAGCAGGGGATCCTTCGGCGGGAGAGCCAGGAGCGGCAGTGGTTACTTCAGCGGGAGAGCCAGGGGCAGCAGGGGATCCTTCGGCGGGAGAGCCAGGAGCAGCAGGGGATCCTTCGGCGGGAGAGCCAGGAGCAGCAGGGGATCCTTCGGCGGGAGAGCCAGGAGCAGCAGGGGATCCTTCGGCGGGAGAGCCAGGAGCAGCAGGAAATCCTTCGGCGGGAGAGCCAGGAGCAGCAGGGGATCCTTCGGCGGGAGAACCAGGAGCAGCAGGGGATCCTTCGGCGGGAGAGCCAGGAGCAGCAGGGGATCCTTCGGCGGGAGAACCAGGAGCGGCAGTGGTTACTTCAGCGGGGGAGCCAGGAGCAGCAGGGGAACCTTCGGCGGGAGAGCCAGGAGCAGGAGTCGTTTCATCAGCAGGGGATCCTGGGGCGGGAGTGGTAACATCAGCAGGAGATCCCGGAGCAGGAGTGGTTATATCAGCGGGAGTTCCGGGTGCGGCGGTGGATCCCTCAGATGGAGACCCAGGAGATGCCGGAGTGGTGGGGTCGGTTAAGCCGGGTTCGTTAGTAGATCCTTCGGGAGCATTTGGGTCTTGTGGGGAGTTGGGATCGATGGGCGAGTTGGGGTCTGCTTCACCAGGAGCCAGAGTAGTTCCCGCCGGTGCGTTGGGATCCTCTGCAGGAGCTACTGTGGTGCTTTCGGGTGCCACGGTAGTGTTGGGTTCGATGGGTGGGCTAGTGTCTTCCGATCCGGGTGCCAGAGTGGTGTCTACGGGAGTGGTATCACTAGGAACGGTGGATTCCGTCTCCAGAGGGGCATCCGATCCAGTTGTGGTCTCATCGATGGCCGCGGTGGTCGTCTCGGCGGGAGCTTGGGTGGTCTCAACTGGGGATTGGGTGGTTTCAATCGGAGCAAGGGTGGTTTCCACGGGAGCTAGGGTGGTCTCAACTGGAGCCTGGGTGGTTTCAATTGGAGCAATGGTGGTTTCCACGGGAGCTAGGGTGGTTTCCACGGGAGCAAGAGTGGTTTCCACGGGAGCTAAGGTGGTTTCAACCGGAGCAGCACTTGGGGCACTTGGTCCCTCGGTGGAGATCTCGCCGACGGAAGCAATGGAGCTGGAACTGACCTCCACCAGCGAAGCGGACTCGCTGACGGGGCTGTCGGTGATGGTGACCATCTTGGCCACAGCTGCCGTCGGAGCCTCGGCGGCCGACTTGACCGGCACACAGATCTCCAGGCCGTCGGTGACGCAGCGGGTGTTCACCTGGCATGGCACCACCGGACCGGAGGTCAGGTCATCCACGCACTGCTGGTAGGAGAGGGGTCCCACGCAGACGGCGCTCTTCCCGCCGCACTTCAATCCCACGGCGGCGGCATTGGCCTGGTGTCTCGCCACCAGTGCGGTCAACTGTGGGGAAGAGAAGAACCCCGAGAAGGTGGATGTGTTAGTGGGTCTGAGCTTTGGGGGATTGGGTGGGTCAATGCACTGTTTGTCTCGGGACCTTAACAATTACACTGCTTTCTTTTCACTTGCATAGGATACTTTCGAGTGATCGCCGAGCGCTTTGAACGTTATCCAAAGTAACAAGAGTCCCGGGAGCTACGGATTCGGATTCGGATTCGATTTTGATTGGTGTTTTATTTTCGAGGCATGTGCGTATCCAATTCAAATAAAATATGTACAACTCGTCAGTTAAGATAACCAAAACAAAACAGCAAAAAAAAATATGTATATAACCGAAATGGGACACTGATCGATACAATAGTACTATACTATATCATATAGAACTTGAATCGGTATAATGACCGCGTTTTCCGATATTATGCAATTACCACTAGCAACACCAGAAGTCTGGTGGTTCGGTTCGTTGTCATCGTGGTCGTTGGATGTGTTTTTGGTTCGAATGAAGAATCGTTACTATCCTCTGTACGCCAACCTTCAGGGCTTTTATGCGAAAATCGCGCTATCTGCGCAGCTTCCCAAGCCAAATCTCCGCTGACGCTAGCCAAATAGATGATAATCGCTTGTTTGCCCTCTGGCCAGATAAGCTTTAGTCTAAACCAATTTATGGTATTGCGGCGCAAGTGATATGCCAAGTGGATACAAAGAGAAAACAAATCGAAAGAATATTTATAATCCTTGTTAGAAAGAAATCAATATGATATCTTGGTAGGGATAGATATACTCATAGAATTCATGATACAATCACGCACTTTGTGGGGCCATCATGAGTCAGCCCCGTTATCTTAGTTCTAACATCTTGTTTCCCGGCCAATTGTTTTGACTGCCAAATACGTAATCTTAATCTTGGCCAACACTAACGTCAGGGTAAATGTTGATAAAGCGGGCTGCGCATTTCCGTTGACTGGAGGCTTTGCTTTATTTGCCCCACCTAGTTGAGTACACACAATAGCAGATATTAAAATAACAGACCCACAGACAGGCAATTCTCCACTTTCTTGATTTCATTTCACTCAATCCGATTCCCGGGGTCGTCATTCCGCCCCCAAGAGTAATCTCCGAGTGCAGTTTCTTCGCAATGACGCAGGCGAACCCAAAAGATCTTTGCTTTTACACATACCTCTATAGGGTTTTGGTATTATTCGGTTACTGTTTCAAGATTACGCTTCAGTTGTTGTGATCTTCTGTCTTCAGTTCTGATGCATATCATTTGGGACAGACATCAGATGACATTAAGTCTGAGGGGTTCCAAGTGAAATTGTATAACTGGAGGAGCCCTTGAAATTTACAATCGGAGGCCGAGCATTCTAGAGTTCAAGTATCACTCAAGTGTAATCTCCTGAATTTGCATGAGGCACTGAGATTGTGATATAATCATTATATATTTGAACGTATTTTTATTAAATACATTGTATTGGGATAGACTGAAATGCATTTTATTTTATTTATTACGATGCTGATAGTTAGACGTCGGAATTAATGCAAAATACGATACCCAGTAATCCCTGATTAACTAACAGTTCTTTTATAGAACCAAAATAATATATGCCTAATAAATCTAATTGTTATTTGCTGCAAACAGGTTTCTTTTTTTAAGAAAACAATTTCACATAAAATCCGACGCTTACTGTTAATATTATATTTATTTAACAAGCTTAGCATACAATGTTAAATTATAATGACAATGATAATAATATTTTATTTAATAATTGTACAAGGAGATATCCATGACATGGTAGAGTTATGTGTATGTGTTTTTACTGTTAATATTTAATAAATAAGGCTTAGCATACAATGTTAAAATATAATGTTGATGATGATAATATTTTATTAAATAATTGTTCAACGGAGAACTCCAAGACATGGTAGAGATATGGGTAGTGGTTTTTACTGTTAATAAATCCAAGTTTCCCCCGAGGCCTCAATTACCATATGAAATGGACACCTGCAGTATACATTACTCCCAGGAGGTCGAGAGGTGCGCTTAACATCTGTCATGGATCCCAGGAGGACTCCCACCGGCACCCTTTGAACTTCGCCCTGTCCCCGGCCCATTGCATATGCCCTTTGAGCCCGGACTGGCGAATTCCATGAAAATTGAACAATTAAGTGGAATTTGCTTTGCCTTTTTTTGTTCGCCATTAATGCGGTTAAGCCGTACAACAAAAAATTGAGGTGAAAAAAATGAAAAATGGAAAATGCAATGCAGGCCCAGTCAAATTGCGGTTTTCGTGTGTCTAGACAATACAATAAATACAGTTAGCCATATATTTGTATTATCAAAAATGTATACACTGTAAGTAATTAAGTCACGTGACATTGAGAGCTTAAGAAAGTTCAGTACAATTTGTCTGTTGTTTTTTGGCAAAATAAATTTGCATTCTAGACGTTTCTTCCTTTGATTTAATTTAACTTGCATGTAAATTTTTTAGCAAAATATATAATCAGAAGAATAGTAAATAACCCTGCATTCATACGATTTAGTTAAATTCGATGCATTTTAATACTTGTATATATTTTATTCTGGGCATTTCTTATCAAGTTCTCCGTAAATTTGTTGTAAAATTAATGAGAGAATATTAGAGATTCATTATAAAGCTTTTATTAATTGTTATATCTCATCGTTAGGTTCTTTTTAGTAGGTCAAAATATTATTTCATATAATTAGTTAAGCAATGCAAGAATTGCTTTACAATTCTGGTGCACAATTATATTTGTTATTTCTCCCACCTTATTATTAGGTAGAGTCTTACCTACTTCTGTGTTTCCAAAGTGTATAGAACCCATCGAGCTTAATATAATTCTTGTTCGCTTACACATGTTTTTGTTTATCTCAGTAACATCATTTAGCCCGTGTGCAATTGTATTTAATATTATGACTGCTAGAGTGGCCATCGATGAGGAGCTTTCTGGCTAGGTGAGTGCTAATTCGCTCGCAGCCCGGTGGCTAGAGTGGACCCAAACCCAAATAGGCATTGAGGTCGGCTGCCGGATGGTTGGAGTGGGTTGGAGTGGGCATGGTCGGGCATGCAAATAAGGCAAGGAGATGGGGCAAATTATGCAAGGGTGCCTCCCTTGAACCGGCTTCCACCTATGGAATGGCAAATGGTCCCGAGCAGGGACTCCAGCTGGAGCTCCTCCGTTAATGTTGTTGGCGCTGCGGTCGCGGCTATGACGACGCCAATGGTGGTTTTCAGTGGTGCAGAGGATTCCAGTGGAGCCGCGGCTCGACTCTCTTGCCTCATTGGCGTTTCACAAAGCGAGCGGCGTTGGCTAAATTTGCATAAATTAACAATGTTTCGCAATTGCAGCCACTGATGCAGCGAATTCTTTGTGGCAGTTGGGGCGAGGGACCCGCACAATCCACGCCTGTCCCATGCCCCCACTGTCCACTGTTCACTGTCCACTGTGTTTTGTGTGTCGCAACCGTGGGGCCGTATGCGCGTTTTATTGATTTGATGCTCCAATGCACTTATTATCCCTCAGGCGGCCCCAGCTACTGCCCGTTAATCCCCTGGCGATGCGTTGCCATTTGCCACGTCCCTCCATCCATCCATCCATCCATCCACCTACCAGTGGCTCCCACGCCCCAAATACACAGACGGCGGCTAGGAGGATATATAAGCATTAGGGTGAGCCACATATCAGCGAAGTTGATCGATTGCGGCTCATTAGGGCTTCATTCATTCGGTGGATGGTAGATTGTGGTTCGGTGCCTGAGAAGGCCGAAATCCTGGCTGGAGAATGGGTAAATAGTGCAGAGGAAGGGTTGCTAAAGAATTCGCGGTGCCCTAATGTTGATTTAAAAACCCTTGAGTCTAAAGAATTCGCGGTTCCCTTTTGTATACTTTAATAAATCATTATAATGTGAAGACCCTAAACTCACAAAGACTAGAAAGGTATGCAATCCACTTGCTAATTTTTCTCAAGACAAGAAGAGTAAATAGACGCATTTCTAATTTCCAAGGAAAGTTTTTACCCAGCTTGCGATATAATTTTAATCTTTAGACGGGTAATTAAAAGCCAAAACAAAAATAATGTGAATTCTAATTTTAAAAGTGCTTCTTGGAAGAAGGGGATTGATAAGATTAATGGAAGAAGAACGATAAGCTAAAAAATAATTTAATGACTTCTGCTTTTGATAATTCCTTGAGAACATAAATTAATCTCTGAAGGGGGTCACCTCCCTCACACTGTCGAAAATGGTGTTTTATATAAATTAATTTATTTTGAAACAATCTTAAAGTATCTTCACAAAGTTTTATAATCATATTCCCAATATTTCCGAAAATCGAAGAAATAGGCAACCCAATTTTTGATGAACCAAAAACATTGAAGTCTTATTTCTCCCTCTATAACTTTATTACTATGTTGAGACAGCTGTATTTAACCGATCAAGCTATATGATGGCTTTTTTAAGGGTAAATAAATTCCCTTTATAAAAACAGGAAAAGTTTTTTCAAAAACATTTTATAAGTATTTTTTTTTCTTTATCCAAAGTTACAATTGTGTTTGTTTTTTAAATGGGCATTAAAGTACTAACAAAATATATAAATTTAAAACCCCTTTTTTATTACGTACCTTTAAGGTCGTGGTTACAAACCGTGGTTATATATTAGATATAAATTTAAAGTTTTCAGACAGTACTTTAAAAAAAATATATAATTGAGTACAAATATTTCCAAAAAGTCGAAACATTACATTTTTTGTGTCACCTGTTCAAGTGAACCACCCGGCTGGGAATTTTTCAACGCTTTTGCATTGTAAATCGGTCCAGTAAGCGTGTGTATGGGCGTGCAAAATGAAATCATCAGCAGTCAATTAATCAAACTGTCATGAATATTCTCCGTTTCGAGTGTCACAAAAACTTCAAACGAACCCCAAATTTCGAACTCATCGTTTGTTGCCATCCAGGAATTGTTGTTGAAATTACAAAATTACAAATAGCGCTTCAATGGCAGCCATGGCAGAAACGAATCCAGGTCCAGGATCTGGTGAGGAGGTGGACAACAGTTGGTGCCTGATCGAAAGCGATCCGGGTGTCTTCACCGAGCTTATACGGGGATTCGGCTGCACGGGTGCCCAGGTGGAGGAGATATGGACCCTGGATGCCGACGCCTTCCATCACCTGGAGCCCATCCATGGTTTGATCTTTCTGTTTAAGTGGGTGCAGGACGACAAACCCGCCGGACGCGTGGTCAAGGATCGCGATGACATCTTCTTTGCCCGCCAGGTGACCACAAATGCCTGTGCCACACAGGCCCTGCTCAGCCTGCTGCTGAATCTCCGCCATCCGGACATCGATTTGGGTAACACCCTGAATGGTTTCAAGCGCTTCTGCCAGGACCTGGATCCGGTGACCCGGGGCCTGTGCCTGGGCAACGAGCAGAAGATCCGCGAAGTGCACAACTCCTTTGCCCGACCCGTACTCTTCGAGTTGGATTTGCGTCAGTCACCGCC